AATCATTTTGGCTGCCCTCCACTGGACCCTCTCCAATGAGTCCACATCCTTTCTATAGTGGGAGGCCCAGAACTGGATGCACTGCTCCAGATGTGGCCTCACCAGTGCCAAATACAGTGGAATAATCACTTCTCTAGATCTGCGGGAAATGCTCCTCCTAATGCACCCTAATATGCCATTGGACTTCTTGGCTACAAGCGCACACTGTTGACTCATATCCAGATTCTCATCCACTGTAATCCCCAGGTCCTTCTCTGATGAACTGCTACTTAGCAAGTCGGTCCCCAGCCTGTAACATCCCAAGTGCAGGACTCTGCATTTGTCCTGGTTAAACCTCATGAGATTTCATTTGGTCCAATCCTCCAGTTGGTCTAGGCCACTCTGGACACTATTTCTACCTTCCATCATATCTACTTCTTCTCCTAGATTAGTGTCATCCACAAACTTGCTGAGGCTGCAATCCATCCCCTCATCCAGGTAATTAATAAAGATGCTGAACAAAACCAGCCCTAGAACCAATCCATCCCACTTGAAACCGACACCAACCAAATAACGAGCCATTGATCACTGCTCATTGAGCCCGACAATCTGGCCAGCTTTCTATCCACCTTACACAGTCCATTTCTCCAATCCATACTTCATTAACTTGCTGACAAGAATTATGTGGGAGACTGTATCAGAAGCTAACGTCAAGGTATATCACATCCATCGACTTCCCCAGGTGCACAGACCCAGTTACCTCTTCATAGAAGGCAATCAGGTTGATCAGGCAAGACTTGCCCTTGGTGAATCCATGTTGACTATTCCTGAGCACTTTCCTCTTTTCCAAGTGCTTCAAAATGGATTCCTTGAGGATCCCCTGCATAATTTTTCCAGGGACTGAGGTGAGGCTGACTGGTCTGTAGTTCCCTGGATTATCCTTCCTTTTTTCAAAGATGGGCACTACATTGCCTTTTTCCAGTCATCAGGGACCTCTCCTGATGTCCACAAGTTTTCAAAGATAATGGCCAAAGGCTCTGCAATGACATTTGCCAACTCCTTCAGTACCCTCGGATGCATTGAATCTGGATCCATGGATTTGTGTATGTCTAGCTTTTCTAAATAGTTCTTAACCTGTTCTTTCTCCACCGAGGGCTGCCCCCCTCCTACCCATACTGTGTTGTCTAGTGCAGTAGTCTGGGAGCTGACCCTGTCTGTGAAGACAGAGGCAAAAAAAAAAAAAGCATTCAGTACTTCAGTTTTTCCCATATAATCTGTCACCAGGTTACCTCCCTCATCCAGTAAGAGCCCCACACCCTCTCTGATTACCCTCTTATTGCAAAGTAAGCTTCCTTTTTATGTTTAAGCTTCCTTTTTATGTTTAAGCTTCCTTTTTATGTTTAAGCTTCCTTTTTATGTTTAAGCTTCCTTTTTATGTTTAAGCTTCCTTTTTATGTTTAAGCTTCCTTTTTATGTTTAAGCTTCCTTTTTATGTTTAAGCTCACCAATGATTTCGTTGCTAAGCCAAGCTGGTCACCTACCATATTTGCTTTTCTTACTGCACATCAGGAGTGTTTGTTCCTGTGCCTTCAATAAGGCTTCTTTTTAAAATACATCCAGCTCTCCTGGATTCCTTTCCCCTTCGTGTTAGCATCACAGGGGATCCTGCCCATCAGTTCTCTCACGGAGTCAAAGTCTGCTTTTCTGAAGTCCTGGGTGGATGCTTCAGCTCAAATGATCAGCAGTTAAATAGTTAAGACTGACACTAGTTAATAGTTAATATTGACAATATTGTCATTGTTGGTTTTCAGTATTAACAAGTGCTATTCACACACTTCTCTTAGAGCTATTGTTTCTGGCTGCCAGAGGACGGGGTATTGAGTTAAAGTAAATTCAGTTAAAGTTGTTCATAGAAGCCGGACGGGAGCCACTCCCCCCATCCAGCTTCTGCATGCAGCCAGAGGCTCCCAGCTGGGAGGCGGGGGCGTGATTGGTGCGCATGCAGTCTGGTTGTGTGCAGAAGCCGGGCAGGGGGAACAGCTGGGAGTCCTAGCCCCCCTCCCCCCCCCGGCTTTTGCACGCGACCAGAGGCCCTGCCTCCCAGTTGTTCCTTGCTTCCGCCCAGCACCCAGCCGGGAATTCAGAAAATACCAGACATTGCACATGTCCAGTATTTTCTGAATTTTTCTACTGGACAGTGTAAATACCAGACTGTCCGGTAGAAAACTGGACACCCGGCAAACCTAGGCCTGAAGCATTTTCAACACACTGTATGTGGTTACCAATGGTTTCTCTACCTTTGGTGCCCATTCCTCCCATAAACCACACCAGTTCACTCCCTTCTGCATAGTTAGGAGCTAACTCCGTGTCAGTAATAGAAACTGACTCTTCCCCTCCCCCCGCCTCCAATTCTTGCTCCCGGGACTCATTCTCTCCTTTTGCTTGTCTACATGGTCCATCTCTCATCAATGAGCAACAGTCCATCACTTCTATAAACTGCCCTTTCTCTGGGCCTACAGAGAGAAAATCACCACAATCTCAACTGCTCTGTATCCACCCATAGCGAGGTGTTCGTCCGAGACTCTTGGAGCAGCACTCCCAGCATTGCTGAGCGTTGAAGAACTTCCTAGTGCTTCTCATCAGACCTCAGGGAAAGCCGCTCAAGGCACTTGCCGTCCAACAGCTGTTTCTCCAGAGAGCTATGCTTGGTGGATGAGATACAGCTATAGGCACTATGGGCCAAGCCTGAAGTCCTCAGACCTTATGAAAAAAAAACCTCTCGTGGATGGGGAACAAGGTTTTGGGGAGGATGAGATGTAAGTTAAGGACACCAGGATTTAGTTTCTTTTAGATGATGATGATGGGTAAGTCAGTTCTTACCTCCTCTTCCCTCACGGCCACATGTAATACTCTCGCTATGCTTCCCAGTCACGAGTCTGCCACCAGTTGTCAGACCTATCTAATAGTCAAGCAGCCATCAAAAGTCCAACTTCTCTCCTCCCCAAAATCCCAACTTCAGATCATATTAAGGTACACAAAACTATGCTCACCCCAGCACCTTTGGGGCCCTCTTCACTGAAGGCATTTTTGCTTCTTTTTGAGTACAAACTCATTTTTATAAGATTGCTGAAGAGACTTTTTGGACTGAACCAACACCAGCAGCCAGCATCACGTTCCATTGCAGATGTGGTGGCTACTGGAGGAAAGACCATATCACTCACCAGTATCATGCAGCAGATGACACCACATGAGGAATGCTTCCATGCCTGAGCCTGGCATTATTGCAGGAGGAAGAAACAAAGACAGACAGCATGCAAGAGAAAGAACGAACGAACGCACACACGCATGCACACACAACTATTCCACTGAAAAAGAACACAGCAAGACGTGGTCAACATGGCTTCATCAAGGACTAATCAGAAATGTGAGGTACAATAGAATCCTTCCTTAGAAGCGAAACGGGAACCAAAAGAGAATGCAGTCAGTAAATGCTGCAGAGAAAGGATAAAGGCAGCAAAACGAAGAATTAGATCAGCCAAAGAGGGTAAGAGTATATATGGGAGGGGAGCGAGAATGTCAAAAAGGATACTACTAACTTGGGAAAAGTCAGAAAGAAAGTAGGTCCATTATTAATTGAGGAGCTAGCGCATCATCAATAAATGCTCTTAGGAGCTGTGATACACAATGCTTCTCCCAATCTGTGTGTGACAAGGAAAATAAAGAAGAGACATTTGAACATTTCAGACGTAGTGAAGAGCTTGTGAAAGCAGCTCTTGACAAAAACGGTGTGAAACACTTGGGAAATGCTCCATCCACGAATTGGTAAGTTTGGAGATGTCCAACCTAGTAGCAGCTTCAAAATACAGAAATCAAAGTAAGTATACAGCTTTGAGGGTCAGGATGTTCACTAGCTAACTCCTGCATGTATCTCACCCTCCTTCGGCCTTCACTGATTTGCTAGAGGCTTCACCAATAGACAGTGGTGCACCACCAGATAGTGCATACCCACATAACCTGTAATGCCAAGTTTTCCCATCCTGCTAGAAGCTAGACAGACTCATTTCTGCAGCCACTTCAACCTCCACGCTTTCACCAACCTGCTGCAGCAGACAAAATTACTCTCCAGTGGATCCAAATCCTACAGTGAAACTGCCAACAGCCTTAAAGAAAACACAATATTTAATTTGTGTAAAATAAACCAGCCTAATTTAGATACATTTAGATTTGCAGAGAACAATGGATAAAGAAAAGTGAGTCCAGTGGATGGAGTGCCAACCTCGGAATCAGGCAACCTGTCTTCTGGTCCCAGTTCTGCCCTTGACCTGGCTGGATGAGCATAGGCAAGTCCACTTCACCCCTCTGCGCCTCTCTTTCCTCTCCACCCTTTCTTTGTCCTGTCAATTTGGACTGTAACAACAAGGTCTCACCGTGAGTGTATGGGCCTTTAGGCACTACTATAACACAAATTGAAGATATTCACTGATCTCCTGGTGATGTTAAGGGAACTCTCTTTCTCCTTCCCCAGGTGATAATCCATCACCCCTTAGAATGCTTTGCTGAAGGTATCTGTTCCAATGGACATTTCCATATGGTATTCTGAAGGCCCAGAATTTGGATGCTGAGGAGTTTTGTCTTTTACTGCTTAGAATTTGTCTTCTTTTTCATTTCTAACTCATTCAAGAGGAAGACAGCCTCTCTCAGATACTCCTAGGATGGAAGCCACAGAAAACCAGATTTAAAAAAACCCCAATGCTCCTATCTGATACTCACTCAGCTTTTTCCTCTCTGAGTGCCTCTCTCAAAACATCCAAAGATTCCTAAATACCTTCTCTATCCCTTTGTGGATACAACCCTATAAATATCCAGACATTAATGAGTCCGTCCCCCCCCCCAACTGCAAGTTTCCATCAATCACATGTACCAAACTCACATATTCTGCTTCTAAGTGACTCAATCTTGCTTACTTCTGGTTCCTGAATTACTGGCTTTACTCAGTTCATCTCTTAAATTTCTCGAAGAGCCACCCTGTCTGAAAACTGGCCAGTATTAAGCCATATGGGACCCGGAGTGACAGCGAAAAATAAAAACTGCACAACAATTGACATGTGTTTTCTAAATCAATACAATTTTTCAAATTTATTTTTTAAGAATTACTTCTAATATATCTTTCTCACAGAAGGAGGGTATAGGGAATGTTCTCATTCCATCTGTAAACACTGAAATACAGATCTGGGAAACCAGGGAAGAGACACAAAAAAGTGCATTTTACAAAATTCTCAACTAAAATATATTTTACATGTATTACGTTTCAATTTAAATTCTACCGACTGCATTTTCAGTTTCAAAAAATATTTCCATATCTAATAGATTAAAAAAGCATGAAATATTCTTCTTATGGATAAGACATTTTGATTCATTTACATGCTGTTTGCACAACAGCATAAGCAACCACGTGTGTCTTGAACAATATTGTTGGCCTGATGCAGATTCTGACGTAACATCAGAAAACACAGGACTTCTTCCTCCCCAGACAGGAGTGACAGCACAGCCCACAACCTGGATAAATACAATTTTCCCCCTCTCCTTTGGACAAGTTTAATTTTTTTTCTCTCCCTCCTCCCCAGAAATGAGATAGGGCAGATGGGGAGGGAAAACCAGGAGAAGTAAAATGTTCAGCAAGTTACTGTAGTTTCTGAGGCTGGGGTAGCAAATGCTTTACTAACTTTGCAGTAGTGTGCAGCTCTGAATGAGCAGGAGGGCTTGAGAAACTCAGTCACAACACCAGTAAACAAAGCTACTCCTTTTGCAGAAGAGGACCCCAGACATCTTAGCATGGACTATCCCTGACCCCATTGATCCTACTCAGGATGGCTGTCCAAGGGGTTCCAAACCCTGACTCAGGACATACCAGCTTGTCCACAGAGAGGTTCCTAAGACTTTCCCATATAGTCAATCTGGGTTGTTTCCATTGTATTGGTCCAACAGTTCCATTTTTCTTGTGCACCTCTCTCCATCCTGTAGCCCCAACTACCCCTCACCATGGGACCAGAAAAGCAGGCAGCAGCTACAGAAACTACAATATTGCTCTACAACCACAACACTGTTTACTATGAGGGAGCAAGAGCGGTACTCTCCTCCCATCTGGAATCAGCGAGCACCTGCTCCATGGTGCACTCACTTGGCCAAGTGAGAGCCCTGAGGTTACTCTTGACACTGCTCCTGTGCTGTATGGAAGTGCGCCCTGTAGTGCCAATGGCCTGATCTCCTTCCAGGTACTTGCAAAGGAAAACACAATTACTTGACACCAACAGTACCTTGAGGTATAAGTGGGATTAAATGCTTAAATTATTTGTGCTCAGGTGCCTAAATTAAATCTCTTGAAAACAAAGGCTTGGGGTTTCCCCCCAGGGCGCATTGGTGGGGACTTTGGAATTGTTCATCGTTCTCTGGAATACTGAGCAGGGATTGTCCATAAGATCAGGTGAACATGTGCCACACTTCCAGGTTGGGCCTCAGACCTTCCCATCTTCAAGGTACTCTTGTCCTTCGATAAACATTCCCCTCTTTGGTATGTAGAGCAAATCTATGGATAACACCTGTGTTAACAGAAACACAGGCTGTACAATTTTTACTTAACGGAATTTAATGCAGGAGGGATATTTTCTCCAGGCTAGGGAGGTGTATCCTCAATGATCAGAATAAGAGGGAAATCCCCTTGATTCCAGCTCCGTCAGTGTCCGCAGTGAGTACAGGTAGTGCTATTTCCACTTAAAGGACAACAACATTAAAGCAATATGAACACTTGTATTGTTTAACACTAGTTCAGGCGCCCCCAAAACTGAAAATGCAGGTCCCTAGTTTAAATGAGTAACTCCAGCAGTCAGCAGGTACATGGACTGATACAGTGTTGATTCTCATTCTTTAATTTAGTGCAATCTATAAATGGATTCCCAGCTTTGTGTGACTGATTCAAGGGACTCTGTTATGCTGTCCTTTGGTTTTCTTTAGAATTAACTTCAATAGTTTGTGTTAAGATAAACTAAAGTATCTCTAGGATCTATACACATAAGGCAAGAGGCAAAAGTATCTGTAGGAATCAGGTAGCATTTTTCAACAACGCACACCTCTCATTGGTCAGTTCCTTTCAAAAGCCACAAAGCCACCTTGGTGAGCATGTTCAAATGTCAGTATTAAGTGGTAGAGGTGGAGGATGGAAGGCATCGCCAAGAGAGAGTACTGCTAATTTTTTAAACAGTATGACCATACCAAAGACCAGTCAGGCCAGGTATCACTTTTGGGCCGTTTCATCCTAGGGAAATATTTTTAATTTCTTCTCCTGCCTCTAGCTTACTCACCTATGGTGGAATGTGCACATCTAGGTTCTATGGGGACTAAATTACCACAAAGAAAACTGAACTAGGAAGGGAGAGAATAAACCATTTACACTGCTAGGGAAGGCCTCTAATGTCCAGTAGGGCAAGGAGATGAGTATCCCGGAGAGAAGAAAAGCATGGCTTTCACCTACAGAGCAAACCTTACGCGCTCTATATCTTAGAACAGTACGTGTCTCTTGGAGGTATGCCGTGTTGGCTGAGGCCCTCTGACAGACATGCAGCTTTCCATAATGGTGTGAGGTAAGGCCCACTATTTCTCACCCCGTTTCCTGCCTTAGATCTGGAACATAGTTCTCGGCCTGCCTAAAGACCCCAATTTGGGTAGCAGATCATAGACCAAAGAAAAATTGTACAGGGAGAAGGGGTCCCCCCCTCTCCCTTTACACAGCAAAAACTATTCAGTATGGCAGATGGCTGTTCTGCACCTGGCACAACTTGAAGAACTACCGTTGGATTTTGAAGCAGCAGTGACATCAAGAATCCCCACACTCTGCCCTTTCTGCTGGGCAAGCATGACTATCCTGCTCCATGCAAATGAACTGGGCTTTGTCTCTCTCTTCACATCAGGACATGAAAACCATAGACCCATCACAGCTTGACTCATGCCTGCACCACAGCATCTCTCCTGCATATTCTGTCCACCCCACCAATCATGGCTTTGGATTTAGTATACTGGCTTTTCTCCCCTGTAAAACCCCTCTCAATATATGCATCTCTAGATACATATATAGATATAGATTTACATATGCAAGTACCTATATCTATATACATATTTATTTATAGGTATATGTTTTAATTTATGCTCTTTATTGAAGTGCTGTGCTTTGAACTGCTGCCTTCCTTGACAAAGATCTGTTCCTGAATGTGGAAATCTTTTCAGTCTTTGAGGATAAGAGTGCCTGGACATTCCTTCTGGCCTGGGCGCAGTACTAGAAAAGTTGCTGAGCATGCGTGGATGTCCCAGATGGTCAGCCTGCCATTGGCTCTCTGGTGTCACTTGTCATCACCACAGCTGGGATGAAGAGTTTTGCTACTGTGGATTCTTCAAGATGCGCCCATGTCTGAAATCATAGACATGGCGGCAGAGGAAAACGAGGTCAGGATCAGTGTCCTCTGGCACCTTGCGATGTGGAGGTGTGGAATACTCTTCTGACGGAGGAACCATCATTGTTTTCAGGCACAAAATCTGAAATGAAATTAGATACAAAAAGTTACAGGGAATCATCATTTAATGCAGGGGTGGGGAACCTTGGGCCCGGGGGCTGGATGCAGCCCCTTGCTTGCCCGGATGACGTCCCCGAGGCTCAGGGGCCCCTCCAGCATTGGGGAGCTCTCTTTGGTGTTCCAGCCCCCCTGCAACCGTACTGTAGGGCTGGAAGCACACAAAATCTACTAGGCTGGGCCCCCCTAGGCAAGGGGAATGTGGGGAGTGTCTCTTCCCTCAGTTGGAGGCTATGTCAGTGAGGGGGGTTTTTGTGTCTCACTGGTGTGTGGCCCCAGACTAATTTTTTTGGAGTCAGCAACCCCCACTGGAGTCAGCCTTCACTGCTCAAGCTATCACTAGTCCTGCTAAGGCCCCCTGCTGGAAGAGACTATAATCACTATCTGCTCTTTAGAGTTTTGACTCATTATAGTATATTCCTGCCGGGCTATAGCAGGATTGGGGAGGATCAAGTTATGGATTCTGGAACAGCACTGTCCTTTCTCCAGTAAGAGTTCTAGAGGTTGGTTTACAAGTTATAACTACTCTGAGCTTTACCAAGTAGCCTACTGTTTAGATTTTCCCACTGGTAGATTTTGTACAGTACGGAGGATTAAAAAAGTTAATCTTTATTGTTTAATCACCTTTGCCTTATTTCTGTTGATTAACATTGGGAAAAAAGATTATCAAATAAGGAAGATGGTGATTAAGCAAGACCATAGCCAGGTCACAGAATACTTCATTCTCTGAATCAGCAAGGCCATTTACTGGTGCTGTATGATGACAAGATGACTTACATTAATGCATGCAGGAGGTGGATACTTTGCAACACTACCTGCCATTTGTGAGCCTGGTCCGGAAGAAGGCATGTACCTCACTGGATTATAATATTTTAAATCAATGACTATGGGTATTTGTCGAATAAAATGTGTGCATAAAATGATTCACCAGCCAGTGATAATTATACCAGTGTTTATATTTTTAAGATGCCTGGTAGCCTGCTATCATGAGGGTTTATAAATTTAAATAATTTAGCTCTAATGGAGAGAACATGCGTGACCAGAGGTGTGTTCAGGAGCAGAACAAAACATGCCACCTAAATACCAAGTAAAATAAAGAACCTTAAGCCTTTCCCAGTGGGATGACACAGACATGCAGTGGGGAGTGTTGAGAGGGACAGCATTCCTGGCTCTGAAAAGAAAGTCCTGCCACTAGTTCTTTCTAGAGTTTCTTTATTGCTAAGCAGCTGTGATAACCTCACTGATCTCAGCTGTAGCAGTAGGACATAAGCAGACAGAGCCCTCTTACATAAAGCTATGGCTGTGTCTACACTACACAGTTCTTCCGGAAAAAGATACGCAAATTGTGAACTGGAATTTTTGTAGCTTTTTTCCACTTCATTTTTCAGAAGAGGCTTCTCCGACATTTGGCCTGTCTACACTGGGCCAAATGTGGGGGGAAAAAAACATTTTTTGGAACATCCCTTCTTCGTAAAACGAGGTTTACAGTGATGCTGAAAAAAACGCGTTTGCTCTTCTGAAAAAAATTTCTTTGACGCGGCAGAGTTTTTCTGGGCTACCCTGTAAGACTATATCCTTAGCATAGTGATACATTAGCTGCCTATTCAGCAAGTCAGCAATCTATGAAATGTGGTTATGAAACTTGTGGGTGAAGGCTCCTGCACATTAGTCAAACTTGTTCTGCAATAGCTGCAGAGGTGGAGTGATTGAAGGGCACAAGTGTGCACACAACAGTAATCCAGCCAAAAGATCCAAGGCTGGAATCTCCAAAGTCAGCTAGCAGGAAGAAAGCTCCTACATTTGAAATATTTTGAAGATTAACAACAAATAACTAGGATATTGTTATTGAACAGGATTCTCATGGTGAGACCGATTATCACTGTGCTTGATACATATCCCAAAGACAGAGCTGCCAATGAGGCTGCAAAATCCTCCATCCAGAGGTAAAATCTCCTCTCTCTCTGGCTTGAGTTTCAAACACTTACTTTGCAACAATTGTGGTAGCACTGAGAAGGAATTACCATGAACAAGGCTTATGTCATTTTTGGCATCTGCTTACTAACCCAGCTAGTTGAACAGAGTAGAGGCACTTAGGATTGGGGAAGGATATCTGTAAGATCTCAATGAAATGGATATCACAGATCATGCTATCTTATCAGTTCTCCAAGTGGTTTCAAACATACATTGTGCAACAGTGGTTATCTCAAAAAGAATCTATGTAGGAGGTTCTTCTCAGACATGAATTCAGCTTTGATTATTAGTTTGTGGAAAACACCTTCCTGCAGCTTGTGCTGACATCTTTAGACTCCTGAGTATTCAAACTTGTCTTCCACAGGTCAGAAATGAGCCAATTATGTGGTGTGTAGAGAAAGGCACATTTCTAAGGAACACCACCAACAGGTCCAATTTAATACAAAATTTATAAAGTTGGCCCCTCACAGTGTAGTAAAAATATATCAACATTTGACCAGTGAATCAAGAATAACCCTGTTGGTACTGAGATGGGTAAGCCCTCATAACACATTCATTTATGAGAAAAGACTGTATTCCAGTCACAGCAGCTTCACATCAGAGCTGATGCAACTTCCAAAAAGTTCAAACCAATAGGAATAGGAACAAACGTATCTTATTTTTAACAATGTTAAATTGCAATTAATTGACCAGTCGAGAAGTTGATGGAATTTCCACTGACTACTCGACTAGTCGATAGGCACTTCCGCATTCCAGCTAAGCCCTGGAAGTACCCCCTCTTCCCTCCCCTTTGCTGCCTCTATCTGATAGAGGCAGCGGGGGGGAGGGTAGGGGAGGGAGAAGGAGGGAAATCGACTAGTCGACTGACTATCTGAGAAGCATTTGCCCAGTCCTTAACATCCTTACTTATTCTGCTGCTGGTTTTTATCTGTTTATACCAAGCACATCTATAAAAGCATCCTGGCTTCTTCTTTTGCAGGGGCTCATTGTAAAATAAACAAGCGTTTCTTTGTTACATTTTAATTCTCTGGGTCACTTTAGCAAGTGCTTCTGAAAGTTTAGTCATGTCAAAAAGAAAATGACAGAAAGTTGTCTTTCAATACTATTTCAATTCCCCAATTATTCAGAGTGGATTTATTCCACTTTTGCCAAAGTTCCATAAAGGCAGATTCTGAATAGTTCAGAGGCGCTCTAGTTGCTTTAATGCATCTGTCAAGCCATACCAAAAGGAAATGGAACTCCTGTGCAGAAGTTTTAAACCAGCGCAGAAACCCAGTGGCACAGGTTGGACCTCCCTGGTCCAGCACTCTCAGGACCTGATCAGTCCTGGATGAGGGATTTTACTGGAGCAGGGGAGGTCATTTCTGGATTTTGGCCCTCCCACCTGACCTGCTGGCTCCTCACCTCCTGCTCGCCCCGCTGCCCTGCTGGGCAGCCATCACTCCAGGCCCTGCCGTGCAGCTGCACTGAGGCTCTGGGTCCCACAGGGCTGCTACGCGCCATGGCTCCCTGCCCTACCAAACAAACAACTCCCAGCCCTGGTGCACAGCCACACGCGTGTCTTCCAAACCCGCTGGGAACATTTGCTGCCATGTACTGATAGTGGGGTTGCTGCGGGTAGCCCACGGTCTTGCTGACCCCGCAGGGATCCTTGCCACTGGGAGCTCTCTGGTCCTGCCACATCCGTGTCAGACTATTAAGAGAGGTTCAACCTCCGTATTATTCCCAGTCACTTATGTCTGCTTTTTTGGGGAGTGAGTTATTTAAAAAGCATCAGGTCATTCAGAACCAGGATATACATACTGCACAAAATAATGTTTGTAAATATTAGTAAAAAAATTTAGTTTAACTACAAATTTTGGAAACTCAGTGAAGCATTGTAACACAGCATAAGGATCAGTGTGAAACTGGCTAAGCTAGTTTTATTGCTCGAGATAAGCAAAGCATACAATGCAACCAACAGCACATATTTAAAGCACATAAGATCATTTTCCATTTTAATAACCTAAGGCCTGGACTTTAAAGCTAATTTCAATTTTTGCCACTAACTTTAAATCTGTTAAGAAAATACATACACACAGAAATCTTTGGTCACCAAAACGGATTAATTTTTGCTATTTTTAAATTCTCAAGTCAATTAACTATTTCTCTGGTCACTATCTTTGGTGATATAATTACCAAAACACTTAATACTATAGGCATGCCTACAAAAAGTAATAAACACATTAGGCATGCATTTTAGTTGATTTGGGAGCACACGTGAATGTGGAGGAAATGTATAATGCTTGTATGGGTTCAGTACATTTTTCTGTTGTATTCCAGTCTTGTAATTGAAATGTAATTGTGTTTTACTGTGTCTACTGATGCCCATGTTCCGTGGTAGAAAGGTCACACACATGTAAACACTTCTAAACCTCTCAAAGAGTTTATACTACACAAAGCAAAGAAATATTCCAAGGAGCTAGAACAGTGTTTCTTAAACTATGTTCCATGGAACACTGGTGTTCCGTGAACAACTCGCAGGTGTGCCACAACCTCTTCTTTGTTTTTGTCTTTTTTTTTTTTTTGTCAGACAATTTTTTTCTGTAGAAGAAAATTTTCATAGGGTGTTCAGCATAAAAAAATAGTATTGTTTGGTGTTCCATTGTCTCAAAAAGTTTAAGAAACACTGAGCTAAAGCATGACAAACATTCCCAGATCAGCATAGCGCTCCCATTCACTGGGGCTACGTCTACACTACAAGCCTCTTTCGAAAGAGAGCGTCTAGACTACAAGTAGATTTTTTGAAAAAGCGAGCCACTTTTTTGAAAGAGTCTAGACACTTTCTTTTGAAAAAAAACCCAGTTTGCATTCAATAGCACCTTTTTTCGAAAGAGTACTTTCGAAAAAAGGCATTATTCCTCGTAAAATTAGATTTACCGCGATTGAAAAAACAGCTGCATTCTTTCGATTTACTTTCGAAAGAAAGAGGCTGCAGTCTAGACGCAGGTGACATTTTTTCGAAAAAAGGCTACTTTAAAAAAAAAAACCTGTAGTCTAGACACACCCTACATGCACAGTAGTACAGTTTAACTAGAGGAGGCAGACTGCAAAGCACACAGAATCCTGCAGAATGAGATCAGGTAATATAAATATTGAAAAGAACTTTGCAATACAGAGATAAGTTGCAAAAACAACAGCAAGTTAAGAGCACCACCTACCTGCAGTACTCTGCAAAGGTCAGAACATAGCACTTTTCCTCAATGCAGGCAACACTGTTTTCATCCTGATGTCGGGATGCAAAGATCTCATTCTGCAAAAGGATAAACAACAGGGACAGTCACTCAACTCGACAGGTGCATTTAGTAAGGCAGTCTTATGCACTCTCTGATTAAGTAAGAAAAAGGCAATGCACACATGCAACAACATTCTTCTTAAAGAGAAAGCACCAGAAGTCAGATGTTGCAATTAATCCAAACAATTTACAGTTACAGAACTTAATTGTTTAACATTTGACCACAATGTTCTAGCTTTCCTGTCACAAATTTATAGCCATCCTCCTTTATATTATCAGGTCTCCATATGTATTGCTAGTGTTACAAATATCACTGTTTGGTAAAATGGCTATCACCAGCAGGCAGATCAATGATACTACGTATAACCAAAAAACTCTCACTTAAATGCAATTGAGTATGTGACTTATACTGCGGAAAGTGCTTCTCCCCAGGTAACCTTTCAGAATGCTGCATTGAGCAATATGAATGCAGCTTTTCCCACAAATGCTCTTCCAATACCAGATACAGCAAGAAGATACTTTAGTGGGGGAAATGTCCTGCAATATGTCAGGGGAGATGTTACAAAAGGCCCAAGATGCAAAGAAATCCAAAGTAAAGACAGGATTTTTCATCCCATCCATTCCCAACATCAGACATCTGTCACTGTATACAAAAACTACCTGACAAAAAATGGACTGTCTTGCAATCCCCCACACTACGTTCAGCAATCTAGGCAGAAACTGTCTTCCTCTCCCACTTCCAAAGGCATGGGAACAGTTTCAGGTTTCTCTTTCCTATACTGGAAACTTTTCTGATGCATTGTCACAAATAAATGATACAAATGGAGTATGAATAGTACTTAAGCAACTCCTCCCACTAGCCTCTAAATGATTGTCATGATCAGTCTCAGAATAAATAAATTATTCCCTTTTTTCCTCCAACTCTCCTCCATCAACTGAGAGCTATTTGAAGTGATGAAGAAATGGCAATAACCTCTTTTCCCCAGTTTGAATCTTGAAAGTGTGCATCTAAAGCAGTTAGGGAGGGGCTGATGAGTGCTGACACTGGACATGGGCCAACCAAGCTAGAATTAATTTAGTGATCATCAGATGTGACAATCAGAAGCAAAGAGAATCTAGTGAAATATGGGGTGCTGTTGTGTAAGTGCCTGGAAGCCACAGCCAGCGATCTGCTGCAGGGTTCATTTCACCTGAAGATTCAGGGAAGGAGAACAGGCTGCCCTACAGACTCAGGAGCAGGGTCAGTGTCTGGGAATGTGATCAACAACTAGACAATCAACAAAAAAAACCCAAACCTTAGAAGTGTGTGAATGTTTTGGTTTCCTTTCTTAAATCAAGTGTATCTGACTCATCCTGGGCAAGCCTATTCCACCTACTTATCCCAGTGGCAGCCTCTCCTTTTAAAGCAGTTTTTGTACAGCAAGACAGAGATGGGAGGTATAAAGTGAGTCAGCTCCTCCCTAACCCAACATCTTGCTCTCTGTGCACTAAAACACAGCTAGTCAGTCTCAGATTTCATTTGTTGATGAAGATGCCGCAAGGTACCAGACTGGTTTCCAAAAGAAAATCTGGGGATGGCACACGTTTGCTTCAAAACACAGCTAGTCAGTCTCAGATTTCATTTGTTGATGAAGATGCCGCAAGGTACCAGACTGGTTTCCAAAAGAAAATCTGGGCATGTATAACTACTGAGTGGAATTTAAAAACATCGTATCATGGACTTTTAGTTGGATTAAGAAAATGGCAGTAACTCACTACTCTCTAATCTCTCTGATCTTCTGGTTTAAAATGTATCCTTCTCCCCCATATAAAACCAAGCAAAGCAACAGACCTAAGTCTGAAGACTAGTGGGTCACACATCATACTTTTAAAAGAGAACACTTTGTGCAGCAGGAGCATAGTATGTCCGTTTTTAACCCTCTAATAAATCCATCCTTTTCATAGAATCATAGAACACTAGAACTGGAAGTGGCCTCAAGAGGTCCTCGAGTCCAGTCCCCTGCCCTCATGGCAGGACCCAGTACCATCTAGACCATCCCCGATAGATGTCTATCTAACCTGCTCTTAAATATCTCCAGAGATGGAGGTTCCACAACCTCCCTAGCAACTCATTCCAGTGTTTAACCACCCTGACAGTTAAGAAGTTTTTCCTAATGCCCAACCTAAACCCTCCCTTGCTGCAGTTTAAGCCCATTGCTTCTTGTCCTATCCTCAGAGGTCAAGGAGAACAATTTTTCTCCCTTCTCCTTGTGCCACCCTTTTAGATACCTGAGGGGAAGAATGACTTCTCGTGTCTTGCTCACAACACTTCCGTTAATGCATCCCAGAATCATGTTTGCTTTTTTTGCAACAGTGTCACACTGTTGACTCATATTTAGCTTGTGGTCCACTATGACCCTTAGATCCCTTTCTGCAGTACTCCTTCCTAGACAGCCACTTCCCATTCTGTATGTGTGAAACTGACTGTTCCTTCTTATGTGGCGTACTTTGCATTTGTCCTTATTAAACTTCATCCTATTTACCTCAGACCATTTCTCCAGTTTGTCATTTTGAATTATGCCCCTATCCTCCAAAGCACGTGCAACCCCTCCCAGCTTGGTATCATCTGCAAACTTAACAAGCGTACTCTCTGTGCAAAATCTAAATGGTTGATGAAGATATTGAACAGAACCGGTCCCAAAACAGACCCTCGAGGAACACCACTTGTTAAACCCTTTCAGAAAGATTGTGAACCGTTAATAACTACACCCTGAGAACGGTTATCCAGCCAGTTATGTACTCATCTTACAGACACCCCATCTAAGTTGTATTTCCCTAGTTTATTGAGAAGATCATGTGAGACTGTATCAAATGCCTAACTAAAATCTAAGTATCATGTCTACCGCTTCTCCTTTATTCACAAGGCTCATTATCCTGTCAAAGAAAGCTATCAGATTGGTTTGACATGATTTGTTCTTTACAAATCCATGCTGGCTGTTGCCTATCACCTTATTATCTTCCAGGTGTTTGCAGATGAATTCCTTAATTACTTGCTCCATTATCTTTCCTGGCACAGAAGTTAAACTGGCTGGTCTGTAGTTTCTTGGGTTGCTCTTATTTCCCTTATTTGCCCTTTTCCAGTCTTCTGGAATCTCTCCTGTCTTCCATGATTTTTCAAAGATGATACTCCTTGAGTATTCTAGGATGCAGTCCATCAGGCCCTGGTGACTTGCAGACATCTAACCT